GGAGGGCTACAAGGATGGTGAGGGGACTGGAACATCTCCCCTACGAGGAGAGGCTGAGGGAGCTAGGCTTGTTCAGCCTGAAGAAGAGAAGGCTGAGAGGGGACCTAATAAATGCTTACAAATATCTGAAGGGTGGGTGTCAGGAGGATGGGGCCAAGCTCTTTTCAGTGGTGCCCAGTGACAGGACAAGGGGCAATGGGCACAAACTGAAGCACAGGAAGTTCTGTCTGAACATGAGGAAGAACTTCTTCATTCTGAGGGTGACGGAGCACTGGAACAGGCTGCCCAGGGAGGTTGTGGAGTCTCCTTCTCTGGAAATATTCAAGACCCGCCTGGACAAGGTCCTGTGCAGCCTGCTGTAGGTGACCCTGCTTTGGCAGGAGGGTTGGACTAGATGACTCACAGAGGTCCCTTCCAACCCCTACCATTCTGTGATTCTGTGACAATCACAAAAAGCAGCAATCACAACATAAATAGGTAAATCTTTCATATGCAGACCTTCTCCTTTAGGGTTTTCAATAGTAGTTGCATCACTACACCTAACTGCACACAACTTGTCAAAAGCTTTCTGAAAAATCTTTTGAAGCTGTGAAGAAATGCATTTACATAGACAGTATTCCTGTTTTCAAATAAAAAATCTTTCAAAATGGAAACGCGAAACAGACAAGACTTAAATGCCTGTACAATGAAACAGATAAAACAGTCTCTTCATAGTTCCAGAAGTACCATAAAATTCACTGAAAGCCAAGTTCAATGATTTAGGCCATGTACATCCCTGAGTTTGAGCTATTTCAAGTCTAGTGTTATTTGCCCTTTAAGATTTATCTTTAAATAGCTGAATCACAACTAAGCATTTTTAAAATACTTAATGTTACAAGTTCATTTAAAAGAAAAACTCCATGGGCGTACTCTTCCTCCAAAGTTCACAGCTTGCTAACCGGCAGGCAGGCCCTTGACGTGTATAATTTCATAGGTACTCCCTTAGCTTTGCACCAAGTAAAGCCAGTAATATCACATAGAAATTGTACAATCCATGAAAGAGATGAAACTCTGTGGCACAGCACATCAGCTGTGGCACTAATGATGTCTACAACCAATTAATAGCAAATAGAGACAAAAATAAAGTTTATTAAAAAATTAATACTCTAACTGAATATTATCACAAATGTTGCCAAGTATTTTTTCTCCTCGCCCAACTAGCGTTCCACACTAAGTTTGATTTAGCAGGAGACAGCCAAATCTCAAATAACATCCCTGAGGAAATTAAATCATGTGTATTTTGCACTAATTCTGCCCTTATACAAAGCAAAAATATGGAGTGTTAGACATCGCTCTTGCAGGAGTTAGGTACGTGCACTTCAATATTCAGGTCAAACCATGTTTTCCACTGCAAACAAATTTATCTCTTGAAAACTCTGAGGTAACTGTTCCCTTACTGAAGTTATACCCAGCAACCAGTATCAGCTATATTTTATGATATAGTCAAGCACTTTAATTTTGTACCGATAAGTACATGGGGTTTGCCCATTTTAAAGATAAAGTTGAAATGGATTCTTTTTCTTAGGTTTGACTTAACGGAAATAGGCTGGTAAAGTTCTGGCAGCTGAGCATCACAATAAGATACACCTCAAAGTAAGCTATCTGTGTAACTTACTCTGCATGTTTCAGTTCTAAGTCTTCTCTACCACCAGTAGCTGTTACTTCACTTTCAGCTGAAAGTCTCTATTACAAAGTACAAATACCTGACCAGAGGAATACCCTTTCCAAAATTAGTCTACCGTCCTATGGCTCCTGCCAACTAAAGTCACTGCATCAAAGACGGAACTAAGTATTGAAGGAATAAGATGAAGGAATAAGATGAAGAATAGATACACATGCTGTTTATTAGATTTTGAGTTCATATTTAGAAAGAAATTTTCATATCTAGACAGAATATTTTTTTGCAATTGAGCACTACAACATACAAAAACTCAATCAACAATTTAAGAAATTGCAGTTACCTGTGAAGTTCTCCTTCTCCTCATCTGAAAGCAACTGCTTTTTCTGTGAATGAAAGTTTTGTAGAGCAGTTTCCAGCATTTCTCGTGGAACAGCAGAGCACTCCACAGCTTTCTGAAGGAGCTGCTTACACTTCTTTGTATTTCCTAAGTAGGAAGGAACACAAAATTACAAGTCAAGAAAATAAAAAGTTACACTGGGCAATAGGGTCTTTTTTTTAAAGACATGATTACACTCATGCTGTCTTATATTCACTTTGCATCGTCCTGTGAAGCCACTGTTCATCAGGCACTTCACTCCCTTAAATATCAACTTTCAGGATATTGCCTGGAACTAGTTACAAGTGAATCACATAAGACAATTTTTCACATGAAGTTGAATGCCAGTCACAAAATAAACTTTATGAAGTCACAAAACCACATTCTCGGTATTTGTTTAGTCTTATAGGAACTGTAAGGAACCACAACACAAATTTTAAAAATGTTTTTTTCTGTATTATCAGCAACTACAGAAGAGCTTTACAGACTTTCATTTAAATCTGACCAGATACAAACTTTATTACATATGCATTATAAAACATCCTTACTGCACTTAGTAGAAATCAAAGCTAAAAGCAGCTGTTAAACCAAGCATCACTACTCCAGAAAGCTAACAGTTAACTACAGTCAAAAAACGAGGAGTGAAGAGGTGGAGAGGTGGGCCTGCGTGAACCACATGAAGTTCAACAAGACCAAGTGCAGGGTCCTGCACGTGGGTCGGGACAATCCCAAACACAAGTACAGGCTGGGCGGAGAGTGGCTCGAGAGCAGCCCTGAGGAGAAGGACTTGGGGGTGCTGGTGGATGAGAAGCTCAGCATGACCTGACAATGTGCGCTGGCAGACCAGAACGCCACCCAT